TAGCATCACTACTATAGCTACAGGTAGGAGTATCACTACACAACATATATATATATATATATATATATATATATATACATATATTGCAGACCAACTGCCCTAAACACCAATGTGGGATATAGGAACCATACCCCTATAATTCCAAATCCGAGCAGTGGAACCTTGGCTATCTGGCTGGGGCCTGGTCAATAGTGATAACAGATCATGTAAAATTCTACCCACAGTACATGAATTAAGTTCTGGGTGATGAGCATACCTGTTCTTGATGTAGTGTGGTTCTCCCACTAGGATGCTAATCTTCTTTTGGCATGCCCATGATCTATGCAGATCCCTTCTGTATGTATAAGGCTCTCACCGGCCCATCCTTCTTATCAATATGGAATTCTAGCAGTAGTTTGAGATAAGATAAGTATATTTTGGAAGTTAACATTTTCTTAAATGGAAAATGTATTTCCAATAATACTTATCTCCATTCACACTCTTCTGCCCTTCCTCCCACTAAGAGCCAGTGTTAGAAACTGTGAAATAGGTCAGTCTCGAAAAAGTGATAATATTATCTGAATGAGGTGCTTATATACAGTACCAGGATACAAGAAGCATTGATGCAGGTGGAGAGTGTCACGTGACAGATATCACCAAGGGCAATTAAGTAGGGAATGAAAATCTGGAGGAAGTGAGAAAAATTCAAACCAATGCATAGATGAGCTAAGGAAGGAAACCCCGGTAGTCGAGTAATAGCTGTAGTGTAAGCGGAGATAAGTATTGTTGGAAATACATTTTTGATTTTAGAAAATGTTAACCTTCAGTTTGTTGAATGCCATGTGTAATAAACTAGGTCATAAAGATAGAACCGAGTATTTTAAGTTAAGAATAATAAGTGCATTTCTATATACATAATGGATGTTATGCTTAATCGAGGATTTCAAATAAGTTTCAGTGATAATTAACTCCTTTAAATTTCAGCTTAACTGAAAAAGAATGGTGGGATGATGAAATACAGAAAGAGAAACCTATATCACATAAAAAGAAAGTATTGGTTGAGGAAACTGAAAATCTTTCTGAACACAGGTAAGCCTTTATTTTTGTAACACATAAATAAAACTGCAAATGTTTTCTTTTAATATTCCAACATTTGTAGTTCTTGTTTCATTAAAGCCTGATTCATCATGTTATTTTTGTTTCAATAAGATGATGATTTTTTTGTATGATCTAATCTTGTTTTGTACTTAAGTATGATTACTGTAAAGTTTTTTTAAATGTTTGGCCTTTGGTAGTAGACCAAGAAAATACTTTATGGTTGGGATTATGTTTTATATAAATTAATGTCTGTTCTGTCACTTAAGTTTTATTTTGTTGTACATCCATTAGTAATGAAATGGAGAAATCATTTATGCATACATGAGTTTAGGAATTCTGTAGACTTTGGTTTTAAAAATTTTTCTTCTTTGTTTTTTATATTTAGTGTGAACAGTAGTAAGAAATGTTTTTTAACTGTCATTAACTCAAGTGTTTCAGGAACCACTGAGAAGAAGCCCAAAGCCCGTATCAGCAAAGGAGACAAGTTTCGGAAGGAGAATGTTCCAGGATATGAGTTAGCCACCAAAGAATCGTACTACTTAACTCTTGATGGATTTATTCAGTTTGTATATGACAGAAGTAAGTCTGATGTGTGTCTGGTGTGGCAGGGTCTTATCAACAGTGGATATGATCTTCATTTTGACAGGTTTGAGTCTTTTCTTTATAATGTTTTGGGTACTATGCAGCAGTTAAAGAGTGAGTAATATTTTTAAAGGATGACAAATGGGCTGAACAATATTTAAACCCACATAAATAAGATGTTTTAATTATTTGAACTGTTGGATTCAACTAGTAAGATCACTTTCTGTATTAGTTGGTATTCTTAGAATATCATCATGAAATTGTTTAGGACAATATTCCACATTTAGTAGTATTAGTCTGCTGAAAATCTTAAAATTAGTCTTTTTCTGTCTGGTAACTTCTACATTTATATACAATAATCTTACTTGTCATTTATATAATTGCTCGTACCACCTAGTGACTGAATTAGGCATGTGTGCATTTCTAAGTTATACTTTCAAAGCTAAATAATCTTTTTCTGTTTTTTAAGTTACCTTAGAAGCAACATATATCTCTTGGAGGGTAATCGAATATCAGTTGTGGGTCTCAGTGTTTTAGTATCCTATATGATATCTTTAAAAAATTGTATCACAAATAAGAAAAATAATACTGTTAACACTGTTTTAGGAACAGGGAAGGAGGTAATTTACAATAGCTACATACTTTGATACAACATAAAATGATATATTTTCTGAATTTGAAAGAAAAACGTTTAGTAGAGCTCATGTTTCTTGAAGACATCAATGAACTGAACTGTTTAAATCGTGTATAAATACAACTTATTTTGTTTAATTTTTGAGTTTTCTGAAGAAATCACAGCTGTTTCAGTAGGTTTTCTTAACGTTTGTTTATTGCAGTATACTTGGTAATAATTACACTAATTATCAAATTGTTGTAAAAATGAACACATATTTCCAAAAAAGTTACTGCAAAGGTGTGATTTCTTAAGATTACTTATTATGTTCTATTAAAACTATAAATTCTGCTCTATTTTACCTTGGTGCAGATAGCCTAGTTGCTTTGCACCAATAAATGCGAACCAACCATTTTCTCTTCAAAAAACATAATTAAACTAAATAATCAAAGGCAATGAAATCTGCACAATTTTGATATCAGTTGGATCCAGCTAATCCAAATTTACTGTGGAAGAGTTAGTTGTGGTTGAAAGATTTTGATTCATTTTATTTATTTTGTATTGAATTTTGAAGGCATGTTAGTTACTTGTTTGGTTTCATGATTTGGTATTATTCTTCAGTGAATAGCATCATATACACCTGATTAATTATTCGCTGCCAGAGAAAAGCTCCATAAAGACCTAGTGGTATCATGTTTCCCAAGTTTTTATTGAAATTGTACTATTTGAGATTACCATGCATTCTTGAAATATAGAAATAATCATGAATTTCATTGAATAATTTCATGGTCTGTAAAATTTAGAAGTATTTTTCCAGAACTCAGGAAAATAAAGTTTTAAAACCTAAGAATCTGTAGGTTGTATTTCTTTGATTACTGAGATAATTTTGTCTACTTATTTGTTGCCTAGTTATTGTTTAGTGTAGGTCACAATATTGTGTACCACAATGTATATCATCAATCTTTGTACAGCTTGATCCAATCAGAAAGTCTCGGGGAATATGTCATAATTAGATGTTGATAAATTTGTGCATGTGTTTACAATTTGCTACCCAGACTGACATTATGTTGCCTTTACACAAGTATTTATGAGTTAAGTCTTAAACTACTGTTACAATATAACCCTTAGAGTACTAGAACATCAGTGGTTGTAGTGTAAATTGTATTTGACAGTGATATTTTGATAGCTTAGCCTCAATGTTATGATGGGTATGTTGAAACTACTTCTGTTGTCAATTTGTATAAAAACTGCCTGGGAAACTTAAATTATAGTCTAATATAGGGATCACCTAAAAATGTAGTGCCACAAATCAAATAAATATACCCCAAAACAAAGCTGTTCCAAGTTTGTCAAACATGTTATTCGTAATACTTTGTTTAATCTGTAATGTTTATCATGAACGACAATAGTGGTTCATAATAGGGATTGCAAGGAATTGCACAAAATCCTAATAGAACATTTGAGCAAAAAGCACCTTAAACAGTAAAGATTCATTTCAAATAATACTTTAAAACCTTCATTGTCAACTGATAAGGCTATTCACATATAAAAAATGCACAAAAAGAGCACGTATATTAGACTAACAAGGAAAAGAAAATCCACTCAGAATGGTCCATTTGTAATTATTATTATTCTTTTGCCAGCCTTCAACAAAAACAGCTTGGTATATTGTGACCAAATCTTTTGGAGAATACTAAATAAGGTACTGCAAAGGTTTTAGGTGTATCTTAAAGTCGATTTGTTTCTTCTGTATTTTACATAACCTAAAAACATCATAATTCTAGTATAAACAGTGTTATCATTACCCCATTAAGTTTGCTTTCTTTTCAGTATCTGATGTTCCTTTAAAAATCTTAAGTACAGGGTGAAACAGGAATTTCCAACCAACAATAGATGAACATCAGATAACTGTAACATGTAGATACTCAATGCTTTGTACACTATACAATCAATGTTTTTAGGGAGCCAACTCCTATATTATGTATGAAGTGAAAGAGTAAAATAAATTAAAAACACATAGTATTCAATTTCATTACACACATTCATAGTATAATTACTTTACAAGACACAAAGGTTTATTTGAAGGGATGTTTTAGATGTATATGTTTTAGTTGGAAAAGCTGCTTTTCTACTGGTAAAATTTTATATGCGCTAAGTGGAGGTTGTGTCCTAGTCTAGGCATATATTTGCCAATTGCTATGCATTATATATAGAGAATTAAGTTACCCAGAAACTGTAAATGTTTGATATATTCTCAAACAAACCTCCATGAGAATCTCCAACTTTAGCTAACACTGTACATCTGGAACTAATGCAATCAAGTAGCCAATGGCTACAGTAAATTATCATTACAATGTATAAAGTTAGCTACCATATCAAATAATCCTTTGCCCATAGTTGATCATAAAGAAAGCCAGCAAACAAGGTAAATAATAAATTGGGAATTTAAAAACCTGCAAGTAGGAATCATAAAAAAGTAATGAAACAAAGCTGGAGTTACTGTATACATTATTTACTCTGATTACAAATCCCTATTTTGACTCCACCAAATGTAATTATAGGTAACAGCATGCAGTCAAAATAGGGTTTTTAGTTTGAGTAAATAATGTCTACAGTATCTCCAACCTTGTTTCTTTACTTCTTTTACAATCCCTATTTGCTGTTTTTTAATTTTCCAATTTGTTATTTATCTTGTGATTAAAGCCTGTATGGTTGTTGAGGCTATAAATAGAACTTGGCAAGACAAAAGCATGTCAAAGTAGATAATTCTATACTGCAGGAATACAGTGACAAGGCAACTGATAACTTGTGCTTGAAAGTACACAGCTAAACAACACAGATACTTATTTTGGCAAATAATTTGATCATAAAAAGTTGGTAAATGTTAAATGTATAGATTTTGTTGTCTTTCCTAGGATTATTGTTCATCGATAAGCATGTGCCAAGAGCAGCACTTGACAATACTTGCCAAAATTATTATCACAATATGGGAGGGTGGAGGATCAGAAAGTCATTGGTTGAAATATTATATTTTAATAGAAAAATAATAGCATCAATTTAAACTAAAATTTCTATAAATACTCAAAATAATTCTTGAAATTCATGAAAATTCTGGAAAAGTTGGGGAACTATTGAGTTTTTTTCTAATGAATGTGCAGAAACCTGATTATTTTATAGAAAGTTCATTGTAATCTTTTTGATACTATTATATACCCTGATATCATTAATAAACATGCATTTTCTCATTTTTATTTGAATTTTCTAGATGTGCCTGTATTGACAGCAACCAGGCTAAACAGATGGCCAAGTACTGGACCCTAGACATGGATTGTGCCCTTGTACATCTTGTGAATGGTTTATCTCGCAAGCTTGCAGTAGCTCCTTCTAGAATACACCCTCATGAAATTCACCTTTCACCAGCAGAGCTGGCTAGCCCAGAGTATTATATTTTACAAGGTATGTCTACTAATAACAAAACTGACTGGCTTAGAGAATATGACAGAATAGGACAGCTACTTGCAGAGTTGAGTATTCCAAAATGTGTTGTGTTTGTCACAAGCTATTACTTCCCTAAACAAAGTTGTCTTGACTGGAGAATCTCTTGTTTTATGAGGTAAAACAGCTACTGGCATAGTTGAAAATTTCAGAATATGTTGTTTTTATTACAAAGTAAGATTCCCTCTAAGAGGGTTATCTTGACCAGTATGTTGTTTGATAAGGTTGTCTACTGATAACACTAAAATTGATTAGTTTAGAGTGTATTACAAAGTAAAATAGCTACTTATAAAGGTGATTGTTTTAGTATAGGCTGCTTTTGTAACAAAGTAAGACTTCCCAGATTTGTTTATTCCTCAAAGTGTTTTTATATATAAGGTGTGGCTGACAGAGTTAAGTTCAAAGTGTGACTACTAGTTGTTGTGATATCAGATTTAAGAGACAAATAGTGTTTGAACTTTGAATTGAATCATTTATATGGATGACATTTCTTTTCAAGATGTCCCAGTGGAAAGTATCAGATTAAGATTTGCTTTGGTACAGTCTATAAACTACAGCCTGGAAACATTTTTTCTACCACTAATTGATCTTCGTGCTAGCAACAGCTCTTTCTCTCACAGTACAGCAGCTTTGCTTTCTATGGCTCGTGGTTTCATCTTTTATGACACAAAGAATAAACTAACAAATCAAGTTTTGAATGCTACCAGGCAGAGGAGACTTGACCAAGTTGCTCCAGAAATATTTCTTGATCCTTTGGAAACAATTGGAGGTAAGTATTTTTTACTGTAAATTATTTATTAAATACTATATATTGACACAGAGAAAAAAAATCTGCATTTGTATGATGTCTGTATAAGGTGAGAAAACTTGTTGAATTCAAATAAATAATTGGGAGGTATATTCCAGTAAGTCACAGTGTAGATATGTTTATTCAGCATTACACAAATACAGAGAATGGTGGACTATCCTTTCTTCAAATTTCCCCTCAATTTTTTTTTAAGTGTACCAAACATGTAGTGTTTTAATGTAGTCTTTATTATGAGTCAGTGGCTAACACACTATTATTTGGAATTTGTGAGATAAGACTGAACTTACTTTGTTCAGTATTTTATAATGTGTAGATGGCTATACACCTTAAAAGTTACAGTTTAAATGCTGAATGCTGTTGAAGCATTTGATACCAATAGGCCTAAAATATGTCATAAAATCATGAAACTGCAGGTGTTTTTTTCCCTCATCTGTCTTGATTTTGGATTCGAGCACCGCATTTCAAATAAAACAAAAAAAATCCAGGAATAGCAGGATTAAATTTTAAAGATAATTTCTTTCACCATCAACAACAATGTAGAACTGTAGGCCAAACATTTGTGATAACATCGTGTAAACTGCAGATGTTTTTACTTTCACATTCCTCTTAATTTGTCCATTTTGGATTCCAAATAAGAGGTATATAAAAGTAGCATTTCAGATCTATCTTTTGTTCCTCACAAGTTACTTCCCCAGAGGTCTTTTGTGCCTCATTGTCCAATTAAATTGATATTTTCTGATAGTGAACAAAAGGCCTATTCCCCCTTTCCAGATGGGTCACGAGTAAAAGGCTATGTCATCACATTTGTTGACTCGCATTCAAAATTTTATTGAACTTCTATTTCATGATTTATGTGAATAAGTTTGGTATCAAACTGTAGATTATAATTCAAATATTAGTATTATACCTTATTCAATTTCTTAATTGAAAAGTAGATATTAAAAAAACACAGTTAAATGTTGATTTTTGTGTGTCAAGTGGTATGTTGAATGCAGCACTGGTTCAGATTAGATGTTTGTGATGTCAAAATACTAAGTTTATAGTTTTCTACAAATTAGGAACTCAAATTACCAGTATTGACAAGCTAGAATTTGAAATAACAGCCTCTTATCTTTACAATTTGCTAAGATATTGCTCATGTAATATATCAAACACAGTGTGACCCTACCCACCTCTTTCCATTTTTGGAAACGCTCCCTTATTTACACTTACTTCTATATATGAATTGAATAACCAATCGGAAGCTCAGAATGTCCCCCCAATGGTTGTTTCAGTCTTTTTAATGTGACTATTGCCATTTCTTTCTTTTGAACCAAGATTTCAATGAGGTAGGTTGTGTCTTTATTACATTCAAAATTTCATATTTTGTTAGACTCAAATACAGCTTAGTTACTAAGCATGATAAATTATAGTGGAATTCTGTGGTATTGATATAGTAATTTATGAATTTTCGTTTATTCAACTGGTTGTATAAAACCTTAAAAAATTATTTTGTTTCATATC